CCCCCCCCTTTCCCTCCCCGCGGCGCCCGTAACGCGCGGTTCCCCCTCCCCCGCGGCCCCCCATTCCTGCCCCCCCCTTCGCGGTTCCCCCCGCCCTTCACCCCCCCTCATTGCCCCATGGGTTAGAACTCCCATAGCTTACCTACTCGGCTACAGCGGAGGAGAAGAAGTCGACCCCCTACTTTCAACAAGATGAATTTCTTGCCGCCGAGGAAGCCTACTTCGACGCAGCGGACTACCTCCACGAGGTCATTGGTAAATTAACGACGCCCCGAGCGCGCCGTACCGAGGTAACGAGTCATCTTATCGCGACGCGCACTTCGGCATGTCATTGCATCTGCCTCGTATTTGGCTTCCAAACTTTTCGGGTGCTTTCCCGGAATGGGAAAATTTTCGGGGAATTTTTGAGTCCCTCGTCGACAAAAATGTATCTCTCGCGAAGACTCAAAAGTTACATTACTTGAAGGCAAGCCTCTCCGGCGAGGCTGCCGTGTTAATTAATAATATTCACATCTCTGACGCGAACTACGAGGCAGCGTGGCAACTTCTTCTTGACGAGTACGACAACCGTAACGCGATTATTCACGCGAACATCCATTCTTTCGCCGACTTACCGAAAATGAAAACCGAGAATGTTACCGAATTGAAAAAACTTCGCGATAACGTGTCCGCGACTCTCGCCGCTTTAACGAATCTCGAACGTCCTGTCGATACGTGGGACGATCTCTTAGTTTACATCATATCGCAAAAGTTTAGTCCACGAACACGCAATGAATGGAATCTGAAACGAGGCGATACGGATGCATACCCCACGTATAAGGAGATTCATGACTTCATGACTCTACGCATTCGCGGTCTCACGGATTATCCGTCGCAATTCGACTCCGCGTCGAATAATGCGCGCGGAAATAAAGCTCGTACGTCGATTAATAATGTGTCGCCCGTTGTTCCGGAAACCATAGTCTGACAAAGTGTGATTTTCTGAGTTTGCCGATTGAACAGCGTCGACTCGTCGCGCGACAGCATAAATGTTGCTTTAATTGCTTGAGGACCGAGCATTATTTAAAGAATTGTCCGAGTAAAGGACGTTGCAGTCGATGCCGTCAAGCCCACCATTCGCTGCTTCACAGCGAGGGTACAGCAAGTGGTACCAAATGTGAGTTTTCCGCGATTAACTCGCCGTCCTCCGCGCCGTCAGCTGTGTCGGTCGCCGCTGCTCCCGAGCCTCCGGCCGCGCCCTCCGCGTCCGTTCAAACCGTGCATGCTATTCGAGATGTAACACAGCCGCCTCATGTATACTTCTTGCCACTGCGTATATTAGTCTAAGTACTATCGAGGGCCGCACATTTAAAGTACGTGCACTGCTAGATCAGGGCTCGACATATAGTTTCATATCCGAATTTCTTTGTCAGACTATGCGAACCAGGCGTCATCGTGCCGCGTTAAAAATACATTGCTTTGAAGAGAAATTTAATGGAGTCGCGCGATCTCAGGTCAATCTCACGCTCGCGCCCTGCGACAAACAGGGACCGATATTCCCATTTTCGGGCTACGTATACCAACGAATCACTTCGTACACAGCCTCTCAAACAAAGCCAGCCGCAATGTGGCCGCATCTACGCGATTTACCGTTAGCAGATCCCGATCCCTCTTGTAATCGCCCGATTCATGTACTAATCGGCGCGGATTTATATGGGTCGTTGCTGCTTGACGGCCTCTGTCAAGACCCGGTCGGCACCCCGACGGGCCAGCTTACTGTTTTCGGATGGATCGTCTCCGGTCCTGCCGGCACCGCGCGCCCAGCCGAAGAGTTCGCTTTCGTTTTGAATTGCGTATCCTGCGAGGATACGAATTCCTTGATCCAAAGTTTTTCGGAGGACGAAAGTATCCCCTCTCAAAATCCTCTCACCGAAGAGAAAGAACGTTGCGAAAATCATTTCGCTAGTACGCATTCTCGCGATTCTCAAGGACGTTACATTGTTCGTTTGCCTTTCAAGAACGACCCCCCTCACATAGGCGACACTTTTCGAAAGGCTTCTTTCTTGTACTCCAAAATGGAGCGCCGCCTCTCGCAGAAACCCGAGATCGCCGCTCAGTATCACGATTTCTTAAAGGAGTACGAATCCATGGGGCACATGGAGGAGGTACACGACGACGAGCCCTCTCGATACCCCCCGGTGTACATTCCGCATCATTTCGTTTTACGCGAATCGAGTACGACTACTAAGTTACGCGTCGTGTTTAACGCGTCGAGCAAATCGGACGATAAAACCACTCTCAATGATTTTCTAATGGCGGGACCGAAGCTACAACAAGACATCGCCGCAATAATTTTACGCTGGCGACTATCCCGTTACGTATACATGGCGGACATCGCGAAGATGTTCCGTCAGATATGCATGCATCGGGACGACGCGGATTTTCAACGAATTCTTTGGCGCCCTCCCGAAAGTCTGTTGATTCGACCTTATCGCTTGCTCACCGTGACTTACGGCCAAAAGCCATCGCCATTTCTCGCGCAGCGCTGCCTTCTTCAATTAGCTCGTGACGAATGTAAAGATTTTCCCGACGCGGTTTTTATAATTGAAGAATCGACCTACGTCGATGACGTTCTTTTCGGAGCAGACGACCTTCCGTCGCTGTTCGAAAAACGCAAGCAACTCGTCGGCATAATGAATCGCGGATGTTTTCCCTTCCGAAAATGGGCCGCGAATTCAGCCGAACTGTTGACGGATATCCCGGAGGACCAACGTGAATCCTCGGACTATCCGATCAATCGCGATGACACGCTCAAGGTCCTCGGCCTGTCTTGATCCCCGCATGATGACTCGTTTACTTTTGTCATCTCGCCTTACGCCGTAACTGTTCATACTAAACGCTTTGTTTTATCATTCATTGCAAAGTTATATGACCCCCTCGGATGGGCGTCACCGATCGTCATCGCGGCCAAGATGTTAATGCAAGAGCTCTGGCTCCGTAAAATTGATTGGGACTCTCCGATCCCGACGATCTTTTACCTCATTGGATCAGTTACTTTTCTGATTTGCCTCATATTAGTGAAATACACATTCCCCGATGGACAGGGATGCGTCAAGATAAACTCGAAGTGGACTTACACGGATTCGCGGACGCGTTTATTCGAGCTTACGCCGCGGTCGTTTACCTACGAATCGTGCATTCTACCACGAATATTCAGGTTACCCTCCTCGCGGCCAAAACGAAGGTCGCGCCGTTAAAAACCGTCAGCGTTCCACGATTAGAACTTAACGCCGTCGTTCTATTAACTCGATTGTTAGATTGGGTAAAAAATTCCCTACGCTTCCCGCGAGCTTTATTATTCGGCTGAACTGATTCCCAAATCGCATTGGCTTGGATTCAGCAACATCCATCTCGATGGAATTCCTACGTCGCGAACCGCGTCTCCGAGGTGCAGACGCGCCTTTCGTCAGTACGTTGGCAGCACGTCTGTTCTCACGACAATCCTGCCGACTGCGCTTCTCGCGGCTCTACTGCTGTCGACCTCGTCCACCATGAATTATGGTGATTCGGTTCCCCGTGGCTTAGAAAATCCCCGGCCTCGTGGCCGATTCTCCCGACTCCTATCGGAAAGGAAATTTTGCAAACGGTATCTTCCGAAGCGCGCAAAGCTACCGTTCATCTCGTCGATCCAACTCCTGAGTGGGATCTGCCCACCTCGTGTTCGAGCTGGATTCGACTTCTCCGTATTACCGCATACATTCGTCGTTTCGTTCAAAACTTAAAAAATAAAGTCGCCTCTTCGGCGATCGTCAAGTCGCCTTTGACCGCAGAAGAGATCCACGAAACTTCTGTTTTCTGGCTTCGATCGGTACAAGCGACCTATTTTCCTGATGCCTTGAAAGCCTTAAAAGCTCATGCCGCACTATCACGAACAAGTCCCTTACGCTCTCTCCACCCATTTATCGGGAAAGATCTATTAATCCGGCTGGGCGGGCGGCTCAAAAACTCTGCGCTGAGTTACAATGAGCGACACCCGGTCATACTCCCGCGACATCACATTTCTGAATTTTTGATCGATCAAGCTCACCGACGCTCCCTCCATGGAGGGACACAACTCACGCTTAGATGTCTCCGTCAAACTTATTGGATAATTTCAGCGCAAAGCATGATCAAATCTCACATCCATAAATGTGTTACATGCCTTCGATACTCCGCGAAAACGCCGACGCAATTAATGGGTGATCTCCCGAATCCCCGAGTCAATCCCTCTCCTCCTTTCTCTCACACGGGCATAGATTACGCCGGACCGATGATTATTACCCCCGTGGTCGGCCGTCAAAAGGGGTCAAAAGGGGAGCAAACATTACGTAGCGGTCTTCGTTTGTCTCGCCACTAAGGCGATTCACCTCGAGTGCGTGGAGGATTACTCCTCCGAAGGATTTCTTGTCGCATTTCATCGGTTTGTCAGTCGACGTGGACTGCCATCGGACATGTACAGCGATAATGGCACGAATTTTCGGGGTGCGGACCGCGAGCTCCAACGCAGCTTTCGCTCGCTTATGAACAACCCTTCCCTCAAAGAAATCCTCGCGAATGACGGTGTGAAGTGGCATTTCGTGCCCCCGGCTGCACCACATTTCGGCGGACTTTGGGAGGCTGGCGTTGAAAGCTTTAAGCACCATCTCAAGCGGGTGATTGGTGCTCGTACCCTATCTCGCTCGGAATTCGTGACGATTTTATGTAAGATAGAGGCCTCAACTCTCGACCGATTTCGCCCCTCAGCAACGATCCGTCCGACTTTACCGCGTTGACGCCTGGTCATTTTCTCATCGGTCGACCGCTCACCAGCGTACCGGAGGAATCATTACTCGAAATCAATGCAAATCGATTGTCGCGATGGAAACACGTGCAACTCATGGTCGAACAGATATGGCGTTCTTGGTCGTCGGACTACTTACATTCATTGCAACAGCGCGTCAAATGGACCGAATCTCACGATAATCTCAAGGTTGACGAGTTAGTTTTACTAAAAAACAACCTCCTTCCTCCTTCGAAGTGGGAACTTGCAAGAATTCAACAAGTCCATCCCGGACTTGACGGTCGCGTTCGCGTCGTTACATTACGCACCGCCAATTCCGAGTTGAAGCGACCAATAACGCAGATCTGCCGGTTACCTGCGTTTATCGGGCCCACGGCACCCGTAGAATAACGTTAAACTACGACTATTTTGTCCCTCATTAGACTCAAGAACATTGTGCAAAATAGTTTAAGCTCTCAAGTGTATATAGTGTATATAAATAAATGTATCATAAGACGTCAGATCATTTGCGTGCGCACTTATGCGACCTCGTTCTCCCCCGTTTGTTTCGCATTTCGTTGAATACGAGGCGGGCGGCATGTTGAGAATCTAACGCTCGAAAAGTGAAAGCGAGCGTTGGGAATATTCGAGAACGCTCGATTTGCTCCAAAACACGTTTATTTGCCTTCCCCCCGTTTTTTTTGGTGTTTTTGCTCGCGCCCGGACCACAGGTGTACATCGCGTGATCGCACGTCCTGCGACCAATAGTCTGGTCGCTCGACGATTTGGAACCAATCAGCGTTTTTCACGTCTCGAAATTCCTCGCGGAAAAGTTCGGAGCTCCGGCCGCGATCGTTTCGCTTGCTCCGGCCGGAAGCTCAGTGAGCCATCACAAATCGTACGCGACACTTGTGTTTGTCGATATTGAGAATACGGAGTCGAATCATAGCGAGTACGAAAGTGCGAAATAGCGAGTGCAATATTACCACGCGAATATTCTGACATTGTAACCAGCTTTGAATAAAGTGACTCTTGTCTCGTTTTAAACGAGATACTGACTATTTTTTGTGCTCTCCTCGGCGCGGCGCGCGAAAACATCGAGCGATCCACTAACAGGTGGGGATAAAAATTTACAACGAATAACTCTAAATTTTTTAAACAGAACAATTTAAGAACATAACAAGGGATCTGAAAGTGATATTATCGTATAATAGCTTAAACAAAATGCGAATCTTCATAAAAGCTCCCATAAGAATAGTCTAAACAATGTAACGTTAGTATACAAAATTAACTGTAATGATTGCGACGCATCTTATGTAGTCCAAACGAACAGACAATTACAAACAAGAATTAAGGAACACCAGAACCATATATAAATTGGAATACATCTAATCATTCTGTTATAACAGATCATAGATTAGCATTAAATCATAATTTCGATTGGGATAATGTGGAAATTCTAGATAATGAATCGTATTTTTATAAACGCTTAATTTCCGAGACGCTGTGCATAAAGAGACAAGAAAATGGATTAAATTTGCAGAAAAACACGGAAGGTTTAGCGGATACTTATTTGAACGTTATTGATAGGTTATCAAAAATTTAGAGTTATTCGTTGTGAATATTTATCCCCACCATTAACTCATGTATACACCGCTTTTATTATGTTAACCTTCCGATTTCTACCAACGCTTCACTCATTCACGACATGTCAGAGCGACAGATACATTTTAACACTGCGACTTACTAGTCTGTAATGATCCGTAAGTAAGAATTCGTGATTGTAATTTTAATACTGATACATTGCGTTTTTTAACATATTGCGACTCCGATTCACAGTTTAGAAAGGACAATCGAATCTCTCCTTTCTACATGGTCTTCCAACCTGAGAGTAAACGTCGAAGATGCAATCGATTCGAAGCATTTGCATATCGGCATATTCTGACAGACTACCAAACATTCGTATGAATTTTATTTTATTGATTTGACTGCGCTTTTCTACTGATTGACTCATTTTATTGCGATTGACTGTAATTTATCGTCTAAAATTTTTTCATGTATTATTTTCATTTTTACGCTGAAGATGACACAAAAAAAGTGTCGAAACATCCGAATTTGTATTAACTTATAATATATTTTACTATTGTCTTATTTTGATTGCGCATTAATTACCGCGCGTGGCTCTGATTGCCTCTCTCACTGGCCTAGTTTACACCGATTACTTGATACGCGTATTAAATAGTAAATAACTAGTAAATAAGTCTGATTATTGGCTGATCAGTTCAAATATTGTGGAGATTTGCGTATTCATTTTATATTGATCTGTTTATATACGTTGCAATTATTCACTGTATTTTATTTTAAGCCCATGTAAACGAACTTTAGTTTTTCTTATGTACACACTGCGCATCTGTTAAAGGTGGCGAACCTGATCTTTTTCTCCTCGTGTATATTCTACTCGATGTTACGCCATCTCTATGTTCTTTATGTTCAACCAAGATGTCGTCGTTCGGTCGTAAGAGAAACGACACGATATTATAATAAAAGTTTATTTTGTGTCAATCCTGTTTTCAATCAATTTCATCCAACAATTCTGGTAGCAGAGCGTGGTTGCCGTGATTGGAGAAAGAAGCTGCCGAGAAAAGAAGAGCGAAAAGCCGGAAGAAAAGTTTTTGAGCAGCAATCAAGATGGACAAGATACCGATAGGTTCTGTTCCACAACTCACGACTAAGAACTACCACGTTTGGGCTATGAAATTAGAAGCAGTATTAAGCCTGAAGAAGGTGAAATACGTTCTTACGACAAACCGACTTACAGGCGACAGAGAGCGCGAAAAATGGGACAGCGATAACGATGACGTCGTATCCATTATAAAACTAACCTTGTCCGACGACCAAGCCATGCAGTTTACGGACGGGAACAACGCGAGGGACCTGTGGGAGAAGATCAAAGAAACCTATGTGGGGCGCCTTGAAGATTCTAAAATCGACGCCACAGTTGAACTACGTAGCATAACAATGGGCGATAAGGAGACA